ATCCCAAATATAACATATGTTACCATTAATAATACTATACAAACAGTACTTGAAATTGTTGCAATACAAAAAAGAAACAATGCTTACAAATTTTTGGCACATTATTCTCTCACAAAAGGTGCTTTCACCTGACTATAAGATTTAAATGATGCAACAGAGTCGAAATTTCTAAGGAAATATTATTCCACATTTTAACTGCTGATAGAATAAAAGATGATGCAGAGTACATCAGTCTTGTACTTAGTTGGCTGAAATTATCGGAGTTTCTTAACTCATAAGTTGTCCGGTTGCCTACTTCAGGTGGTAGTAAATCCTGTAGAAACACTGGTGCAAGACCTTTTTGAATTTTATAAAATAATGTTAATTTTCATATTCTCCTTCTCTCAGAAAGTAAATCCCATCCCGTTTGATACAACGAACTGGAAGATGCATATCTTGAAAGACCAGTTACTAAGTGAGCTGCTTCAAGTAGGAGTTTTTTTCTAATCTATTGGCTATTATCTATTATCAAACATCCGTCCCATACCACACATGCGTATTCAAAATGTGGCCTTAGAAATGCAGTAGATATTTTTGCTAATGTTGTTCTATTTAGTAGGACCTTTCATTTCCGAAATACTCCATTCACTTTAGGTGTCTTTTTAACAATGTTTTCAATGTGATGATACCAACTCCCGTAAGACGAAAAGGTTAAACCCAAATGTTTTTTGAAAATCAACTGTTTATATACTGCAGCAATCAAAATTCAAATGAATGTCTTTTCGGTCATCTTTCAAAGTAAATAATATAGCTTTGCTAAAATTAAATTGAATTTTTTTTTAATAATATAGCTTTGCCCAATTGCATAATAAAATTCTAGATTTTCATTCATGACTCTTTCCATCAATTGTGTTTTCGTTGATAAAGTTCCCAATGAAGTATCGTCAGCGAAAAGCCGAGTTATACAATATAGCTTACCAGCTATCTCATTTATATACTCAATAAAAAGAAATGGGCATAAAACTGATCCCTTGGGAACTCCTGCTTTCAACACCATAGGCTTGGATAACGACCCATTAACAAACACTGATTCATTGCGATCACTTACATAACTATGTAATTAATCAAAGAGCTCTCCGCGTACCCCATACATCTCTAATTTAAACATAAACACTTTGTGCCAAACTGTATCAAAGACCTTTGATACATCGCAATTGGCCATACAACAGTATTCTTTGTAATCAAGTGATGTACAAAGATTATAAATTTCTACAAGTTGATGTACAGTTGGAATGCCTCTCCGGAAGCCACATTGGTATTTGTATAACAGATCATTATTGATAATTGTATAAAAGATCATTATTGATAATTGTATGAGATCATTATTGATAATTGTATAACAGATCATTATTGATAATTGTATCACAGATATTTTTATTTGTTTGTAATTCTCCAATACACTGTCTCGTGCATAGTAGACCGTATTCATAACGTGCATATATACCAGATTGAGGGCGCCAATATTGATTTTGCTGTGTTTGGGTGCAAGCGCTAAGAAACTAGGGCGCCAATATGAATGATTTGGGGTTAAAGTAGAATACACTCCTCAGCCTCGCCAATATTCGCGCGTCTAGTGGGGTCGTCGTCCAAACGGCCTCGGACTCAAACAGTCGCGCCAATGTTGGTGAGTCTTCAGAGTTTATTCCCTACATCTATCGATCGCACCATAACAATGTAATAAGTTCGTAGCACAACACTTCTGGTCATTGGAACTATCGCCTCTTCCAGATAAATCTGGCATTGGACCCCACTGGACCATCTGCCATTGGATCACAAGTGAGTGAGTGAGTTTTTAGCAATATCAAGGCGGGGGACTCCAGAAATGGGCTTCACACATTGTATCCATGTGGGGATTCGATCCAAGTCTTCAGCGCGACGAGCGAACGCTTTAACCCTACCGCCCTCCTGTAAGTAGGAACCGACCGACGACATGTGAAGAATATGATAGCAATTATCCCAAGTAGACATTTGCAATCTCATACTAATCAACTAGTAGTATATATGATGGGGGTACTGCCGCACTACTAACAACCTTGCAAGAGGGCAACATACAACAGTATTACATTCTGCATTAATATGTGTCAATATCAACCACCACGTGACTGTACGGAATTGAATTGTATGAACAATATGACAATAAACAACACACAATTGTCACATTATTTGCACGGTATTATTTCCCTGTAACCTTGTGGTAATTGTATCATCTAACGCCCTAACAATTGATCTGTAGCATGTATCGATATCAGCAATGGTTCTTGCATACAGCATTATAAATTAAAATTCATAAATAAACGCATGCAAGATTTAGTATTTGGGGGCAATCTCCAACATGAAATCCCAAACCCATCTCGGCAGTGCCTGAATTGAAACTAAATATCTATACATCTGAACAAATATTCGAAATATTTTTGTTGAAATTTCAGACAGTTACGTTTCTTTAACGACTTCAGTATCATGGATCAGTGAGTGAGTATGTCTTACGCAACTTATAGCAATATTCCAGCAACATCACAGCGAGGGACACCAGAACTGTACTTCATAAATTGTACCCATGTACCGAACCCGAGCCTTCGGTGTGACGAGCAAACGCTTTAACCATTAGGCTACCACCACCGCCCTACATACATACATACATACATACATACATACATACATACATACATACATACATACATACATACATACATACATACATACATACATACATACATACATACATACATACATACATACATACATACATACATACATACATACATACATACATACATACATACATACATACATACATACATACATACATACATACATACATACATACATACATACATGCACGCACGCATGCATGCATGCATGCATGCACGCACGCACACACGCGCACACACACATACACGCATGCACACACACACAATTTATTATGACACGTATTACTAAAATCCATGGTGTCATTTTGTGCCTCTTCACTCCTGATCAAGAGTTGTTTCACCAACCTAATTGAGTATACCTTGAGAATAGTATTAATGATTAATTCTCATCTAATCTCATCACGCTTAAAACTTAAATGAACATTTAAATAAGTCAACATTGAGTTAGACATTACACTTGCATTTCTGCCATGGCGACTGCATGTTTGGAGATGTGCCTCAGCTGCCTCTGTCTGTCTGTCTGTTTGCATGTTAGTAAAAAGTGCTTTTATAGAACCATCCGTCCCAAGTATGGTGATCTACTTTCAGTTGTTGGCGATCTATAGCCTGTTTTATCTTGTATTGTCCTAATAGTGCTATCAGTTTTAACTTTCCACGCTAGTTTTAATTCTAATTATGATATTCTAGTTGTTGTACTGTCCTTCGTCGACAGGTTTTTATAATATACACCTATTTCAATGTGAAATATGTTCTCGTCATGATATGGCTGAAATATTGCCGATGTGATGTTAAATATTAACTCACTCACTCACTCACTCACTTATAGACCCATCCATTATATACTTAATACTCATTGATGTTTATTTGATACCTTTTAAATATGCAATGAGTAAATTTAATCTGTAATGTGTTATTATTCAATAAACTGGCTATTTACCTGTCTATAGTGTCTGCATAGAACTTCACCTGATCCAACGCAGCCAAAATGAAATGATACAATTATTTAAACAATCTGAATATGCTGTTTCGACACTATACATAGATAAATAAAATATTGAAACAATTTTATAGTTGATAATGATAATTATTATTATTTGCTGGGATGAAACAACCTCTAAATGGTGTAAAACTGTATGGGGTGAAACAACGTGGGTGAAACAGCCTGGGGTGAAACTGTGCTGGGGTGGACGTGTTTGGGGTGATATAATCCGCAGGGCTCCAGATAATTTTTCAACATCAGGAGTACGTACTCCTTATTTTTTTCAATATAAGAGTACTGGAAAACCTTAAGAGTACATTTAGAGTACTGAATGGAATTAAATGGAGTATCAGTAATTTTGTGTTTCGTTTCACCACAACATTGCTGCTCTTGTGTAAACAGGTCAATAAACAATAAAACAATACTTTTTCCGATAAATACGTCTGTAAATGATTCTAAGACCGTACATCATTGCTGTGGTGCGTATCTGCTACGTTTTTCAAAATATTTCCTACCGTATCGTGCATACTTTTTATCCGTACATACGCCGATACGGCCCTTATCTGGAGCCCTGAACCCGTTTCCATATATCTGTAGTTTATTCATTTGATTATACCAAGCGACAACTGGAAGTGACCGGTGGAGATCCGGGTTAGAATTGGTCTTCAGCAACCCATGTTTGTCATAAGAGGCGGAACCCCGTGAAGATCCGGGTTAGAGTATTGACCTTCAGTAACCTATGCTTGTCGTAAGAGGCGGGATCGAGGGTCAGGCTCGCTGGCTTGGTTGACACATGTCATCGGTTCCGAATTGCGCAGATCGATGCTCATGCTGTTGACCGCCACCATGTAGCTGGAATATTGCTGAGTGCGGCGTAAAACTAACCTCACTCATAAGAGGCGACTAACGAGATCAGGTGGTTAGGCTCGCTGACTGGGTTGACTCATGTCATCGTATCCCCAATGCGTAGATCGATGCTCGTGGTCTTGATCATTGGACTGTCTGGTCCAGATTCGATTATTTTCAGACCGTCGCCATAAAGCTGGAAGTAGCGCAAAATAGTTGTCCCCCTGAGAGGGTACGTAAGTCCCATTTCATTTAAAGTATTTTCATTCTCCGGGACTTTAATCGTAGAATGTATGCTTTTCGTAATGTGTACCTTACTTTCCCAAAAATCGCCAACACCTGAAGAAATGATCCAGCTACGTTCCATCCAGGCAGCAAAGGTTACCTCTAGTTGCTGGTGACCTTCAGCCCGATTTATATTGCATTGTTCTCTGTAATGATATCATGCTATCTGTTATGATAACATGCTAGTTTCACAACAAACTCAGTTATATTCTAGCAATTTTACTATCCATTGCCGACAGGTTGTTTTTGTTCTACTTGTATTAATTTTGACTGTATGAATTGTTCTCGTCACCATATGGCTGAAATATTGCCGATGCATTACCTCAGTCATTCAATGGAGAAACAGCTCTAGGGCCGTATGGCGTTGATGTTGACGTAATGGACTTCATAGCAACGTGTCCTATTCACAGGGAATAGAGGAGATCTATGGTTACAAGCAGGGTTTTTGTGGACATAAAACTTTCTGAACCCAATGTCATGGACGTCTTTCAAGATCTTTAAGTTGTTTATGCATTGATGTCTATTACGCCAATCCCCATGGTATTCTATCAGCAGCTGCTTGACGTGCATGAGCTCCCCAGATGACGTCATTTCCGGCAGTGACGTCCACTCACTGCGTTCCACGTCGGCCTTGAGGACATCTATCACCTTCTAAAGATGTATGAAAATGTGTACAGCGCTTAAGAAGCATTCCGATTTTTGTAAATCTAATGTATCTATGAAACAAACACCCAGAAACATCATATAGACTCACTAGAAGAGTCATTTGCCCCCAATTGGTCTTGAAGGCAGACCCCCAAAATGGTGAAAATGTGGTGCAGTTCTGGCGACCGAGATGGATGTGATTTTTCAGTCAGGAATTATTTATCTTTAATTTAAAGCTGGTTGCCATCAGCTACTGTGTGTGACTACCGTGCATGGGCCCATCCAGTTATCGGTTAAAATATTACCGTAACTGAAATGACATGTTGTACCTTGAAAGGGCCCCTGCACGGGAGTCACGCACGGTAGAGGATGACAACCGGCTTTAAATCAAAGCTAAATCATTCCTGACTGTGAAAAATCACATCCAATTCGGTCGCCAGAACTGCACCACATTTTCACCATTTTGGGGATCTGCCTTCAAGACCAGTTGGGGTCAAATGACTCTTCCAGTGAATCTATGTTTCATTTTACACAAAGATTTCGAGAGGCGAATGAAGCAAAAAGAAAGCATGTGAGTACTACAACACTAACAGCTAATATGGATATCGTTTCAGCATAATAAATTGCATGTTAATGCTATATCTGATCCAAAATGACGTTTATTTAATTATCGCCAGTGTATTAAATGCCAAGGACGCTCAACCTAGTGAGTTGGCTTTGACTAAGTTATAAAACGCTTACTAAGAAAGTGTAATCCCCAAATCACACCGTAGGAGCAGTGAACAGTACATTTCACAGCAGGAAGTGAACGATCTATCACGCAAGAGGTGAGCACGTTATATTTAGGAGTAAGCAAATTGTCAATATCTATATTTGTATAGGCCACATTGTCCCCCATATTCACGCTGTAAAATAGAAGACATATGTAATAATAAGTTCTCGGTGCCCTTGGTTTGGTACATCCTGATCTCTTGGCGCAGATCAGGAGAGTGCCTGGGTTCTCCACCGGGAGCACAGCCCTTCTGACACTCTGGGTAATGCAGAAGGCTTCGGTGTTGGGGAGTCTACATATTCTACGGAAAGTTCTTTGTGGGTTCGACTAGGTAGCGTTTCCTGGGAGAAGTCCCATTCGCTGTCTGGGCTGCGTGTTTAGGGGGCAAGGGCCCTGAGCTGCTGATGAGCCTTACCAGCCTGATTGTGCCAGGATCACCCGAACCCTCTCTGCTGCATACAATCATTAATCTGTAAAACATATAATAATAATTCAGTTACATAGCACCTAGTATCTATCTGACTAGTTGCTCACTGGACGCTGTCATCAAAATCTGATTATTATTACCCCGGATCACCCAAGCTGCCTGTTAGGAGCTAGAAGGTTATAGTCACATGACTTAATTCCACCAAATATCTTTCCATTCCGTCATTATACAAGCCGATGAGCCTGTAAAACAATGTCTAGCTTCGGCTACGTTTCCGTAAAGATGCATAAACATATCGAAGTTTAAGGCATCATTGCTGTACAAACGAAAATCAAAATACACCTGCATTTAGAGTAATTATGGAACTATCTTTGTGACAAATTTGAACTCTTAGTGTTGTGACGTTTTGGAGCTTTCATCCTCGAAAGACCAACACCATCAAGCTGTTAGTGAACGGTTTAAGAACATCATGGTGAACGATTTCATGTCGAACTCTAATTTACACAATGAACGCTTTACGGCGCAATCGCTTGCAGTGGTGTCGTAGATTCCTGAACTGGAACCTTAGAAACTGGAGGCAACTCTGGTTCAGTGATTTTAATCGTGATTTCTTCTTCACCCGCGAGATGGAAGACAGAGTGTTTATCGTCGGAGAAATTAACGTTTTGCCCCAAATTGCATTCGACAGGTCGACAGATTCATAGTGTGGGGTGAGATATCCAGCACATAAAGTTCTGATTTAGTGGTGGTTCAGGGGGAATCTGATAGCAAATCGGTACATCAGCTAAGTCCTTGCACGTCACATGCTTCCGATTGTGGACCGACAGAGGGAGTTGTTCCAGCATGACAACGCTACTTTACATACAGCATTCGTCACATTCCGCTACCTTGCCAATTCTAAAGTCAATGTCTTGCTATGATCACCAGATCTAAACCCGATAGAACACCTATGGGATGAACTCGATCGACGTGTACGTCAACATCAAAACACGCCTAAGACATTTCCACAACTGGCCATCACATTGCAGGAAGAGTGGGGAAGAATTCCGCAAGAGTGACTTCATGCAGTCTGTGCCAAGCAGTAATTGCTGCCAATGGTGGCCATACAAACTACTGACTTTGACGATATTTTGCGGACTTTACACAATATAGGCTGCTGTTGTGTTTTCGAACTCTTTGTCTATAGAATTTTCACCTTTTTACCATTGAAATTACATGAAATAATTCCTCTTAAACTAACACAAATATGTTTTTGAAGAGTGTATCTTTTCATTCTTATGTGGACATGGTGATTCGTCATCCTTTGATACTAGGCTGAGCTTTTCTTTATCAGTTTCATTTGGCACATATTTGAAATCTTTTTGTACGTATTTGAGTTTACCTGTTATGTCACATAAACATATTTTTAAGATAATTGTCTCTGTCAATGTCAGTACAGTGTTATATCACCCCAATGTTCAGAAAAGTAACAGCACTGATATGATAAAACGTCCGTCGTTTAAACATCACATCTGAAGAATATTATTATTATAGGATATTTATTTATATAGCGCACATATCCAGACAACTACTGCATGCTCAAGGCGCTGGTATTTGATCCCTCGATCACTGGATGTCAATTTCAACGTCACATCGTATTATCAATCTCAACTCCCTGAGGAGTATACAACTCTTGCAGCCACTAGGCTTTCTCATCTTAACGAGGTACCCATTCACAGTTGGGTGGACTGGGACACATAGTCACAGTACTTTGTCCATGTTCACTGCACGTTGCTGTACAGGCAACTAGGTGTTTGCCCATATTGATGTGGCCACCATCTGGTCATATACCAACGGATTCGTGAGTTCTTTTAAGTGCACAGGGTTGTGTACTGTACACTAGGGGTTGTGACACCGCTGAAAGAGTCTGCACACAAAGTTGACTCCAAGGTTTTTACACCCGGTCACAGGTGGGCTCGATCCCAACACCTCAACCTCGCTGGATCACTAGCCTGGCACCTTAGCCATCTCGCCCAAGAATAGAATACTTGGTAGTTAGTGGTACTGCTGGATAGCAAATTGGATGACGAGTTTAGGCTGACAGAAATCGATCAACAACAGAAAATGAAATCCTTCACCTTGAATAATTGTCTGGGTTCTTAAAGCGTTCACAATTAGTTTGATGGTGTCGGTCTTTCGAGGATGAAAGCTCCAAAACGGCACAACACTAAGCATTCTAATTTGTCACAAAGATAGTTCCATAATTACTCTAAATGCTGGCTTATTTTGTTTTTCGTTTATACAGGCAGCAATGATACCTTAAACTTTGATATGTTTATTCATCTTTACGGAAACGAAGCATGCGTCTTCTATTTTAAAGCATGGAATTTTGGAACAATATGGCCTATAAAACTACAGATATTAACAATGTTCCTACACCTAAAAAATTAAACTTTCGAGTGATAAATCGTTCACTTCCTGTTATGAAATATTTCCTGCAGTTCGCCGCTCCTACGGTGTTCGAAGCCGTATACACTTGACTTTATTTCTCATATATCGTATTTCAGGTCTAAAATCACATGTAAATAGTGTCAGTCTGTTAAGTGTCAAGGTCACTCAGCCCAGTGACTCGGCCTTCACTAATTTTCATCTACGACGAGTAATCGGATATACATACCCCTGTGTGGTTTAGCATTTTCTTGAAAGTCTTAAGTGTGTGCAGTTCCCATCCTCCATGACGTGTGTCAGTCCCTTTTATTCCCATCTTTAGAAACTGAACATGGCGGGACCTCTTGTAACTGGCCCGGCTCATGCTGAAATATTTCAACGCGAAGTTTACATTTGTTTGTTTGTGTTGAATGGCATTGTTCAGCTATATGAATGTGGTCTGGACGAGACAATCCAGCGTTTGACGTGAATTCCTATTGGATTCCTGATCTTCGCAGGAATGGATTGAGTATAACCGAATATCTGATACGTCGGCAGTTATCACGACTGTATGGTTTGGTTATTGCTTAAAGCCACAATCAGCAATATCCATGCTATATGACCAGTCAATCCAGTGATCAACAGCATGAGCATCGATCCACGCAAACGTGATGATATGTGTCAACCAAGTCAGCGAGCCTGACCACCAAATCCCGTTAGTCGCCTCTTAGGACCAGCGAGGGTTGCTGAAGACCAGTTCTAACCCGGGTCTTCACGGGTGTGGTGCAATTTTAATACATGACCTTGACTTGTGTGTCATGGAGTTGGACACCACGAGGCCTTGTTAGTTAACGAGTCCGGAGACAACAATGACAAATATTGCGAAATTGGTACGAAGACACATAATAACGAGTCAGACCACCCACTCAATAAAGTCGCTTTCTCAACAAACATAGATGGCTGTAGATAAATCTCAATCCGTAATACAAACATGGCACTAAACATAGCCAGCTATATATTCACGAGACATAACGGGACTCACCTTGGGTCGAATGAAAATACATCGCATTCATAATTTTTGGCTGTATCGTCGTCGAAGGAAAAATCATTGTTGATCCTGAAATGTGTACAAATATATAAGCAACCTGTCGAGTTCCAAATTGAAGCAATAAGTTAATCCATGATAATACGGGGAATGTAAAATTGTATCATAAGACTGACTATGTTTACAAATCAATACACGTTATGGCAGAGTTATCACATAGGTAGTAAACGTGACACTGTCATTACTATTAACGTGACAGTATGATATAATGACAGTGACAATAGCAGTCAAGTCCGTGATGATAGTATTCACATAGCAGTCAAGTCCGTGATGATAGTATTCACATAGCAGTCAAGTCCGTGATGATAGTATTCACATAGCAGTCAAGTCCGTGATGATAGTATCAGTCAAGTCCGTGATGATAGTATTCACATAGCAGTCAAGTCCGATGATGATAGTATTCACATAGCAGTCAAGTCCGTGATGATAGTATTCACATAGCAGTCAAGTCCGTGATGATAGTATTCACATAGCAGTCAAGTCCGTGATGATAGTATTCACATAGCAGTCAAGTCCGTGATGATAGTATTCACATAGCAGTCAAGTCCGTGATGATAGTATTCATTAAGCAGTCAAGTCCGTGATGATAGTATTCACATAGCAGTCAAGTCCGTGATGATAGTATTCACATAGCAGTCAAGTCCGTGATGATAGTATTCACATAGCAGTCAAGTCCGTGATGATAGTATTCACATAGCAGTCAAGTCCGTGATGATAGTATTCACATAGCAGTCAAGTCCGTGATGATAGTATTCACATAGCAGTCAAGTCCGTGATGATAGTATTCACATAGCAGTCAAGTCCGTGATGATAGTATTCACATAGTAGTCAAGTCCGTGATGATAGTATTCACATAGAATGCGTCCGTGATGATAGTCAAGTCCGTGATGATAGTATTCACATAGCAGTCAAGTCCGTGATGATAGTATCACATCAGTCAAGTCCGTATGTAGTCAAGTCCGTGATGATAGTATTCACATAGCAGTCAAGTCCGTGATGATAGTATTCACAGTCCGTGATGATAGTATTCATAGCAGTCAAGTCCGTGATGATAGTATTCACATAGCAGTCAAGTCCGTGATGATAGTATTCACATAGTAGTCAAGTCCGTGATGATAGTATTCACATAGCAGTCAAGTCCGTGATGATAGTATTCACATAGCAGTCAAGTCCGTGATGATAGTATTCACATAGCAGTCAAGTCCGTGATGATAGTATTCACATAGCAGTCAAGTCCGTGATGATAGTATTCACATACAGTCAAGTCCGTGATGATAGTATTCACATAGCAGTCAAGTCCGTGATGATAGTATTCACACAGCAGCAACAGTCCAGTCCGTGATAGACTTGGCATTTCAGCTGAATACAATCTTCAAGACAACCCCGTGATGATAGTATTCCCATTGAGTCTAAATACGTTCTAGAAGGTTCCATAAGATGATTCATTTGTCTACAGCTCTTCTGCTTTCCCTATATGGTGATATATTCCTGACAACTAATTATTACACAACTAATTATAACACAATGTTATAATCGATACTCATGAAGATCGTCACTGGATTTCAGGTCAATTACCGATTATTTACGAGAGCTTTTTGAGATGTCTAAAGCAGCCGTTAAGACGCGGGTTGAATTGATCTTCGGCAACCCAAGAGGAGACTTTCAGATCGATTATAACGTTTTTGATGCATGTCATCGTATTGCGCATTTCGATTACATCAAGAACTGGATTTTCTGGCCCAGACTCGATTATTCACACACCTCTGTGTTATACCAGGAACAAGAAACAAACCAGCAGAAACCAGCTCACCCAAAGAAGTACACAATACAAGGTTTTACTGGACGGTACTGCTTATCGTCGCTCACCCAAAGGAGTACACATTCTAAGATGCTTCGGTGAAAGATCAAAGGCGCCCACAGTACTTTATCAGACGATAATGTGCACTTTTTGGATTACGTCACAATGTATTGGCGTCACTGCGCCAATCTAGTCTGCCCCCTCGTAATCGAACAATATTGCATTACGTCACAATGTAAGCGACGTCACGATGCATGTCAGTTGTCATCGCTTCGTACAGCCTCCTACAGTAAACTACTCCGTTACATCCCGTTTCTTGGTATGCAGTTGCTTCACGCAGCTAACAACACTGGTGGAAACATTACGTTTATGTTTTCCGACGGTTAAAATGTCTCAATTCGACTCACAAGTTTTAAGCGACACGGTAACGTTCGCAATGTTTACATTCCCACAATGCAATCGTGGAATGTCGCTTGACTACTCAGCTTCATCTGGATGTACTGATGTAAACTTACGTTGGTAGTAGAAATGCGACGTTCATATTGCCCCATATGGTTTACGTCAATCACAGATTTAATTAAAATATTTTAGAGAAGATATTGAATCCGAACGTAAACCGTCATCAAACTGTTTATCATTGTATTTTTCTGGTAACGTTTGTCTTAACGTAGGGAGGCAGACACATCTAAAGAACAACGCGCCAGTTAGCCCTGTGCGAGGATTCTTAATTTAGGTCACCGACACCGTCGTTTGTTTTCTGCCTTAGATTAATTATCCCTAGAAAGTATTAAATTTGGCATCTTAGAAAAGAAATACAAGGTTTTACTGGACGGTACTGCTTATCGTCGCCAGAGATCAGCTCACCCAAAGGAGTACACAATACATGGTTTTACTGGACGGTACTGCTTATCGTCGCATATCTCCCATCCTCCGTCACCTATCCTCCCCATTCGCAGCTTCCGGTGGCATATCGTGTCGACGTTGTCAAGGTAACTGGATATGTAACATGAAAATGGATAAATCAACTGTTAATATACATCACAGGAACATACATTGACGTATGTGTGTTATTACTAATTTCGACAATACCAATACTCAATAGCTATGGCAACAGGGTCAGGGTGATTACACGCGTATACTTCACGAGTGCATTGCCCATTCTGTTGTGGTCGCCATGTTTAGGTATTAGTTGTTTGGTTTGGTCTCTTGTTGTGTTCGCCATGTTTAGGTATTGGTTTGGTCTCTTGTTGTGTTCGCCATGTTTAGGTATAAGTTGTTTGGTTTGGTCTCTTGTTGTGTTCGCCATGTTTAGGTATAAGTTGGTTTGGTTTTGGTTGGTCTCTGTTGTGTTTGCCATGTTTAGGTATAAGTTGTTTGGTTTGGTCTCTTGTTGTGTTCGCCATGTTTAGGTATAAGGTTGGTTGGTTTGGTCTCTTGTTGTGTTCGCCATGTTTAGGTATAAGTTGTTTGGTTTGGTCTCTTGTTGTGTTCGCCATGTTTAGGTATAAGTTGTTTGGTTTGGTCTCTTGTTGTGTTCGCCATGTTTAGGTATAAGTTGTTTGGTTTGGTCTCTTGTTGTGTTCGCCATGTGTTTAGGTATAAGTTGGTTGGTTTGGTCTCTTGTTGTGTTCGCCATGTTTAGGTATAAAGTTGGTTTGCCATGTTTGGTTTCGGTCTCTTGTTGTGTTCGCCATGTTTAGGTATAAGTTGTTTGGTTTTCTTGTTGTGGTATAAGTTGTTTGTATAAGTTGGTCTCTTGTGTCGCCATGTTTAGGTATAAGTTTGTTGGTTTGGTCTCTTGTTGTGTTCGCCATGTTTAGGTATAAGTTGTTTGGTTCGGTTGGTCTCTTGTTGTGTTCGCCATGTTTAGGTATAAGTTGTTTGGTTTGGTCTCGCCATGTTTAGGTTCGCTTGTTGTGTTCGCCATGTTTAGGTATAAGTTGGTTTGGTTTGGTCTCTTGTTGTGTTCGCCATGTTTAGGTATAAGTTGTTTGGTTGTTGTTTCGGTCTCTTGTTGTGTTTCGCCATGTTTTGTATAAGTTTTGGTCTTGTTGGTCCATGTGTTTGTTGTGTTGCCATGTTTAGGTATAAGTTGTTTGGTCTGGTCTCTTGTTGTGTTCGCCATGTTTAGGTATAAGTTGTTTGGTTTGGTCTCTTGTTGTGTTCGCCATGTTTAGGTATAAGTTGTTTTGGTTTGGTCTCTTGTTGTGTTCGCCATGTTTAGGTATAAGTTGTTTGGTCTCTTGTTGTGTTTGGTCTCTTGTTGTGTTCGCCATGTTTAGGTATAAGTTGTTTGGTTTGGTCTCTTGTTGTGTTCGCCATGTTTAGGTATAAGTTGTTTGGTTTGGTCTCTTGTTGTGTTCGCCATGTTTAGGTATAAGTTGTTTGGTTTGGTCTCTTGTTGTGTTCGCCATGTTTAGGTATAAGTTGTTTGGTTTGGTCTCTTGTTGTGTTCGCCATGTTTAGGTATAAGTTGTTTGGTTTGGTCTCTTGTTGTGTTCGCCATGTTTAGGTATAAGTTGTTTGGTTTTGTTTGGTCTCTTGTTGTGTTCGCCATGTTTAGGTATTGGTTTGGTCTCTTGTTGTGTTCGCCATGTTTAGGTATAAGTTGTTTGGTTTGGTCTCTTGTTGTGTTCGCCATGTTTAGGTATAAGTTGTTTGGTTTGGTCTCTTGTTGTGTTCGCCATGTTTAGGTATAAGTTGTTTGGTTTTGTTTGGTCTCTTGTTGTGTTCGCCATGTTTAGGTATTGGTTTGTTTGGTCTCTTGTTGTGTTCGCCATGTTTAGGTATAAGTTGTTTGGTTTGGTCTCTTGTTGTGTTCGCCATGTTTAGGTATAAGTTGTTTGGTTCGGTCTCTTGTTGTGTTCGCCATGTTTAGGTATAAGTTGTTTGGTTTTGTTTGGTCTCTTGTTGTGTTCGCCATGTTTAGGTATAAGTTGTTTGGTTTGGTCTCTTGTTGTGTTCGCCATGTTTAGGTATAAGTTGTTTGGTTTGGTCTCTTGTTGTGTTCGCCATGTTTAGGTATAAGGTTGGTTTGGTCTTTGTTTTGTTTCGCCATGTTTAGGTTATAAGTTGTTTGGTTTGGTCTCTTGTTGTGTTCGCCATGTTTAGGTATAAGTTGTTTGGTTTGGTCTCTTGTTGTGTTCGCCATGTTTAGGTATAAGTTGTTTGGTTTGGTCTCTTGTTGTGTTCGCCATGTTTAGGTATAAGTTGTTTGGTTTGGTCTCTTGTTGTGTTCGCCATGTTTAGGTATAAGTTGCCATGTTTAGGTATTGGTTTGGTCTCTTGTTGTGTTCGCCATGTTTAGGTATAAGTTGTTTGGTTTGGTCTCTTGTTGTGTTCGCCATGTTTAGGTATAAGTTGTTTGGTTTGGTCTCTTGTTGTGTTCGCCATGTTTAGGTATAAGTTGTTTGGTTTGGTCTCTTGTTGTGTTCGCCATGTTTAGGTATAAGTTGTTTGGTTTGGTCTCTTGTTTAGGTATAAGTTGTTTGGTTTGGTCTCTTGTTGTGTTCGCCATGTTTAGGTATAAGTTGTTTGGTTTGGGTCTCTTGTTTTACGCCGCACTCAGCAATATTCCAGCTTAATGGCGGCGGCCTGTAAATAATGGAGTCTGGACCAGACAATCCAGTGATCAGCGGCAGGAGCATCGATCTACACAATGGGGATACGATGACTCGCGTCAAGCAAGTCAGCCAGCCTGACCACCCGATCCCTTTAGTCGCCTCTTACGACAAGCATGGGTTACCAAGACAAATTCTATTCCGGATCTTCACGGGTTTAGGTATAGGTGGTTAAGAGACAACACATTATAAAATACTAAGAACATGCATCTCACGATTTGTAGACATACCTGTGATATGTTCGAAAGGCTTCCTTGGCTGACATTCTCTCAATCTCATCCTTAGACGGAAGGACAACCTAAACATGTCCGAGACATGAATGTAATCAAACACGACATGGTTCCTATCTTGTGTGCAAAATCAGCACTAAGTTCTGTGTGTTGAGTGGACTGTGACAAGAAGCTGATATTTAAGTATGATCATCACAGTGTGTGTGTCATCTAGCGGTTATCACGAGAGTATGTTTTCGGAGGTGAATGAGTAAGTGTTGCTTTAAATATCGAAATATTAACTCACTCACACACTCACTTAAAGCCACATCAGCTGTTTGCGGACAGAATATCAAGTAATGTCCTGAATATACAATACAAGTGATGACGAATATCATGATATCTTCAGTCCAGTAAACAGTACAAATACTGACATGTAGATTTTAGATCTAAATCATATAGTTTAATTTCCTTCAAATGTGCTAAAATTAAATAATTACAGTTCAAAAATAGTTTGAACAGTACAAAGTCGTTGACAAAAGAGTCAAAACCACACACAACAGAACAAGGTGTTTGACAGTCAAAGGACTAGCGATTATCACGAGTGTGTATTTGAGTGAGTGAGTTTTACGCCGCTTTTAGCAATATTCCAGCAATATCAGGGCGGGGGACACCACAATGGGCGTCACACATTGTGCATGTGGGGAATCGAATCCCAGTCTTCGGCGTGACGAGCGAACGCTTTCACCTCCAGGCTACCCCACTGCCCCAGTGTGTATTTGAATTAAGAATTAACATTGTATAGCAACACTTGAAGAGATACATAAACAGTATGTATTTCTGATTCTAACTGATTGGCAGTAGAAAATTTCTGATACCTTTTACGTCCATGTTAAGCATCACAGCCAAAGGGAGGAAACTGCGGTTGGGACGAATCTTAAGTTTCGAGATGCAGCCGTGGAGACTGGCTAAAGTAAGCACTTCTACATTCTAAACCATCCTAAAACACTCCGTGTGTGCTCAATCATGGATGCATGATTATAGTAAGCGGCAGCAATTTCACCGATGACCCGTCTGATGTTAGTTAGTGCCGAGTTAGTGACCGTGATTCGAGTGACCTCCCTTTGTTTTATTTTTACTTTATGAACACCCTTTCATCGCTTGACACCTTAGATGACCTCCAGTAGGGCTGGGACGGGTAACCCGGATACCCAGGACGGGAGGGTAATGAGTTGGACCCGGGTATCCATCTCAGTACCCGGACCCGTTATGATGACTAATAGATTAAACAATGCAATATGTTATTCTTTTATGACTAAAATGTTGTATTGTCGTTGAAGATTTAGACATTATATACAGTCAGCTGTTTTGAATGTAATACATGGTCAAGATATTGACAAACTCGAAATTTCAGCCTCCGAGCTGAAGAACATGTTGCCATTTCTTACAAATTTGATGTCAGGAATTAACATATCGGTATCCGGGTAGGGTAGGGTAATAGGGGGTGGGGTACCCGGGTAGAAACTTTGGATCCGTCTCAGCCCTAACCTCCAGTACTTATTCCTGAACTTAGCAACATTGCTCATATACTTCAATGTACCAAAAACCCGTGAAGGTCCGGAATACCCGTGAAGGTCCGGAATACCCGTGAAGGTCCGGAATACCCGTGAAGGTCCGGAATACCCGTGAAGGTCCGGGTTAGAATGCACCTTCAGTAACCCATGCTTGTCGTCAGAGGCGACTAACGGGATCGGGTGGTCAGGCTCGTTGACTTGGTTGACACATGTCATCGGTTCCCAATAGCGCAGAGCGCTGATCATGCTGCTGATCACTGGATAGTCTGGTCCAGACTCAATTATTTACAGACCGCCGCCATATAGCTGGAATATTGCTGAGTGCGGCGTAAAACTAAACTCTCTCACTCACTCAAGAGCCAAAAAAGTTGCATTTAGAATATTGAGATATGTTCCCTGTAAGATTGAACATGGATTGCCCTGTCAGAAAGCTATGGTGTGTCAAAGCTGTGAGTGAGTTTAGTTTTACGCCGCTTTCAGCAATATTCCAGCAATATCACGACTGGGGACACCAGAAAGGGGGTTCACACATTGTACCCATGTGGGGAATCGAACCCTGGTCTACGGCGTGACGAGCAAACGCTTTAACTACTAGGCTACCCGCGAGTCAAAATTGTGAAGAAAAACATATTGGGCCTTATCATATGAGTCAACCAATAATAGACTGACGTCATGGCGGACAATATTCTGCAGTATTTGTTCTCTCTTCCTATCTATTGTCAGGGGATGCATTATTCTACATCTCTGTTTAATCATATTGTAAGTGGCTGTGGGACCATTTTTCTAACTGTTTTGGCCCTCGTGAAGAGCAAGCTCCTCGTGGTGAGTACTGGGTAACGATGATCTTTTAAAAGAATGGTTGTTGTTGTTGTTGTTGTTGTTGTTGTTGTTGTTGTTGTTGTGAATGGGGAAGGGAGGGAGGGAGGGACCAATATTCCAGCAATATCAAGGCGAGGGACACTAGAAATTGGCTTCCCTATATTGTACCCATGTTGGGAAGTGAACCCGGGTCTTTGACGTGACGAGCCACAAGGCTACCCCACCGCCCCGACACAACAGTGACTGTTGCAGATACTGACGAGTTGGTTCACGCATCAACGTACGGCGCCATCTGTTGGCTTCTGTTGATTGCTGGACCCTTTGATCACTGACCAGGATGGAACAGGAAAAGCCTTTAAAAAGGCAACGTTGGAGGTTGGAGGTTAAGAAATTTAGTGAGAATGACGTGAGATGGTTAGGGGGTGAATCTGATTTCAAGAGCATCTAAATGACCATGCCTCAACCTATAGAGAGAGACATACAGTACCCTGATCTCCAGTATATGACATTTCATATCAAAGGTCTTTGTCATGTCTAACGATGTCTGGGAATCCAATACTAGTGACGGTCGGAGGAAACATGATCCTATATATTGCTTTGTGAGGCTAGTTGTTGAACAATTAACAATAATACATATAGTAATATATTTTTAGTACACTTACGTGACCTTGCTTGCGAATAATTTTGAGTGGAGAATCGCCAATTTCATCAACATTGGCAGACCTCTCATGGCCGTCCCTCGATTCCGTCTTTTGTAGCTGAAATACATACATGCTTTGTTATTTATTTGGTACATCAGCCAAATACCCGTGGGGGAGTGTTTGGAGCGATCGTTCACTCTCCCACAAGTCCCGGTAGTATAGGGCCAGTTAGCGTAAGGAAATGCTGTGTAGTTTAAATGACGTCATCAGAGGTTAAGTTTGATACAGGTGATGTGAGCACATTTTGTAGGTGAGTAGTCAACACAAAGGATGTGTTTAGTCGTGGCATGAGGATGAATGAGAGAGCGCCTGTGGTTGACTATGCTGGGCCTCACTAGATAATAAACTCAACTCAATACAATACAAAGTCCTGAGACTATCACAGGCACACAGAAAACACTTCCAGGCGAAGTCACCTCATAATTAAGATGAAATAGTTAACCATAAACATCTATCGAATAAGTCCAGATGACTTTTGGCAATTTTTAATCGCTCGGTATTAATCAACCACAAGTTTAGAATGAATTTGATGTTCTGCTTAAGACTAGCCACACGTCTTTCATTTGTAATGGTTAAAAGAGTACAAAAAGCAACTGTGTATTCGTTCTTTAATGAAACAACTCATAAATACGACATAAGCCCCAAACTCCAAGCGCTTGCTATCAAAACCCACTTCTAACCAAGAGAGAAAAACAGCCAAGAAGCCCAAGGTGAGGTGAGGTGAGGTGAAATTGGGTTTAACATCGTGCTTGAGAATATTTCGCTCATATGACGACGTGCATGCGTGTGTATGTGTATGTGCGGCTGCTTGTACTAGCCCAGACTTAAGCTGGTTTTATAGTGCTAGCCCACTGAGATACCATGCCGCAGTGAAGTATGAATACCCCACTCAGACACATTATACTGACTCCGAGACGGCCAGTCCTTGTTGTACCCATTAATGCCGAGCGCCAGGCAGGGACCAACAAGTACCATATTTTAACGTCTTTTGGTATGACGCGGTCGGGGATCGAACCCGCGACCTTCCGCTCTCAAGCCACACAAAAACTACTAAAAATAACCTAATCATATCATAATCTACAGCGAAATCAAAAGCCTATCAAAACAAAAACCTTCCTAAAGTGACAAAGTAACCTAAAATACATTGTATCTACTCCAAAAACCACTCCAAAGAATAAATATCTACCATAAATCGAAAAATTATTGACAAGGGATAATGAACTTACAACCAGGTCACACAAAAACAACAAAACAGGTCACACAAAACAATGCACGGGCTTCATTAAAAAGACAAGTGCACCGAATGCAACGAAACAGACAAGTGCACCGACTGCAACAAAACAGACAAGTGCACCGACTGCAACAAAACAGACAAGTGCACCGACTGCAACAAAACAGACAAGTGCACCGACTGCAACAAAACAGAAACGCCCGAACATGGTTTAAACATATTCACATTTCACAAGAAATGAAACCTGGATAGGCGAACAAGCCTAGTGGCTTATTTATAAGCCGCTCCAATACATTATTCCATCAGCTGGCTTCATAAATGAAATAATTTAATAACAAAAGAATAATACTGAGAAAGAATATTGAGAGAACATCATACATTATATCTAACATATGATTAAATATTGAATATTTATGGTGTTGGTTATGCCAAGCAACGAAATGGGCTGCAGCAGAAAGTCCAATTATATAAACTTGAGGTACATTGGGTATACATGTAGTGGCGATAATCACTGAAAGCGATTACTTTTAAAATAAACTGGTGTAATGAGTTGAGAATGTTACTATTAGTTGAGTTATTCAATGCATCGTGGCCGTAAACAGTAGGTTATAACATCGTATGAAAGCCCTGGTGTAATGAGTTTGAATATAAAAATCTTTTTAAATTTGATAGTTCTGACACGTGGTGTAATGAGTTGAGAATGAAACGTAGTGAACAGCGTCTTCGTTGTAATGACCATGTGAACACCTGGATGTTTCCGGTCTACGTCGATTGCATCTGTCAGCGTATAGATCGCTACAGCTGAGTTTGAGGCGACTATGGATAATTTGGCAAAATCTAGTCCCAAAATTTAAATCAAAGTAATTCTGAGTTTCTGTTGGGTTTATCATTGTTTTAAATTGATTCAGGGAAATAGCGTTAACAGCAATCGGGCAATACATTCCAGGACATAATTGCACTCGGTAAAAATGGTTGAGAATATCCTTGCGTTCTACAGTTAATAGTTTGAATGCAAGTACTGTTTCGAAGATTATAGTTGCTTTATTCAAATACTTTACCTGGTACAAGATCGTTCAGGTAATAAGAAGTCAGACGATGATACATTTCATAGAAAGCTATGAGTTTAGAGCAATATCGTCTTTCTTTTAGTGTGCTGTAATTGGTTTCCTGTATATGTTATCGTGAATGGTACCACGAACCACACCGTATATAGTTCTTAGAGCGTCTAAATGTAAATTTTCCAGACTTATATAAAGTTTTAGCTTTTTCCGAGATTACCGGTATTTCAAACTTCTCGGACTATTGATCACTGGACTACCTTTCCTTCATCATGTCACCCATATGAACTGTCCAAGACCAATCGCTTTGAAATGTTATACCTAAGTGTGTATGGTATCAACTTCTTTTATAGTTTCGCCATTCATTAATAAATTCCACCCGTGAAGGTCCAGGTTAGAATGAATCTTCAGTCACCCATGCTTGTCGTAAGAGGCGACTAACGGGATCGGGTGGTCAGGCTCGCTGACTTGGTTGACACATGTCATCTGTTCCCAATTGCGCAGATCAATATTCTAACCCGGACCTTCACGGGTTGGACTGTAGTTTGAACAGTCGTATTCAACATCTTTCTGATGAAGCGGAATCACCGAAGCTAGTTTCCAATATGAAGGGAATGTTTTATTTACGGAGATGTTAAACAGCGGGGTAAGAGCGACTGGAGTTAGTTTCATTACGGTGTGGGGCGGTGGGATAGCCTAGTGGTTAAAGTGTTCGCTCGTCACGCCGAAGACCCGGGTTCGATTCCCCACATAGGCACAATGTGTGAAGCCCATTTCTGGTGTACCCCGCCGTGACATTGCTGGAATATTGCTAAAAGCGGCTTAAACCATACTCACTCACTCATTCAGTACGAAGTTTCCAGTGTCATCAGGCCCCGTGGCTTTCGACGCATATCGGGAGCATCTTCAATACTTATTGTGATAGATGACATAGGATGATCGACGTCACGCTGCTAGATATCAGGGCCTAGAGTTTCGAAGCTCTCTTAGCGCTAAGATAGTCGTAAGTTGACGTATGACACTTACGACTATCTTAGCGCTAAGAGAGCTTCGAAAATCTAGGCCCAGGCAGATTGGCGTTAGGATCAGCAACTTGAGATTGTTCTGAGAAAAACGAGTTGAGTATAGCAGCAATATCTTGTTCATTGTGGTGGCGCGTGGTCCTGTGCTCAAAGCTCAGTCCACAAATCGGTGAAGTTAAGCAGCGTCGAGCTCGGAGAGTCCTTGGATGGGTGACCGTGTTTGGCAGCTTGACTCCTGAGAGTTTCTAGGACTTGAGTCCTGCCCCACAACGAAGCACATGTGACACATGTGGTCTCATCTTAGGCAAGTGAGTTTGTTCAAAATTGTCTCTGTTCACCCAGCAGGAAAATCGGTACCCGGTGGTAAAAAGTCATATGACTATAACCTTCTAGCGCCTAACAAGCAGTTTGGGTTATCCGGGGTAATAATGTGCTGTGCCTTGATTGTTAGCGCTATGAGCATACCTAGTGTGCAGTTTGGCGCTATATAAATGGACACATTATTATTATTATTATTAACTATGTTATTGGAAACAGTTGATGGAAAGGATGATTAAATAGAATTTGTTTGGATATAATTCTTAACTAATCGCCACCACATTTTAGTACCATTAGTGGTATTTATACATTTATCAACTCTTGCATCAAAACCACGTTTTCATTTCTAACTGTTGATATTATTTTGTAACTAAACTTAGTCCAATCTGAACTTAGTCCAATCATTAGGACAGTTTCCTTTTTAGCAATCTCATGTACACGATTACGTTCCATTATTAAGGATCGGATTTCGTTATTCATCAATACCGGATCTTTGGTTCTAACTGTTACAGTTTTATTTGGGACATATTCACTCATGATATTCAGTATCAAGGATGGAAGGTTTTCAGTGATATTACCTCCGTTCCCCGAAGAGGAAAATATATCAAACAAGTCCTAATACACTGCATACCCTACCGACTCAGGATTGTGCCCCAGAGTTCACAGCGCACAAACTCACACCTAACACTACAATCCCACCAAATAACACCAGGACGTTCAAAGACTTGTGGCAGCACAGAAAGCAACTCAAAATCTAAACCACATAACACGAAATGAACCCGTACAAAAACAAAACATAAAAACAAACAAAACAAATTCCAGCCAAAACGGACCTTGGTTCATCCAAGTTTTAGGGTAACTGAATATTGGTTGAAATTGCAGCCTTGAGTGTTTTGAGTGCAACATCATTTCTGTATATTATGAAGTCTCACATGCAGATCAATATATTAAGCTTCACTCTCAATGTCTTTGTGAAATTGTTAATGCTTGGTTGTTTGCACTCACAAATATTCCTGTATCTTCCACAAGACACCGGGCGGTGGGGTCAGCGTTCGCTCGTCACGCCGAATCGATTCACACAAGAAACCCACCGTGATATTGCTGGAATATCGGCGTCAGTCAGTCAGTCCACAAGAAACCATGATCCGTCCCTGTACATATTTCATCAGATTTGATGTTATTTTGGTATTATTATGAGGTTTTGCGGTAACCAGCTGACACTGAAGTTACCTGGTGATAGCGATTTGAAATGATCGAGCTTCACCAAGGTCATACTATAACCATTAGACGCAAAAGGGATCTTTAACGATAGGAGTCTACATACAACCGGAAGATAAGACGAGGTCAAGGTCGGGGTTTTACTGCAACTACCACCCATACAAATATTATTCGGACACTTGACGTCATTTCCATAGACGTACATGTTATTTCAGTGTAGCATAAATCACTTTCATGAAGTGAGTTTAGGATGGACCTTTGTAAAAATTGACAGGCAAATTTGAAATCATCTCTGCTCTGAACACATAATTTCAGTTCAATTTTCGGACCACTATTTAACTAATGACATCTCTTTTATCAACTTTCGTATGGTTCCACAATGCACAATCCCATAGGCAGCCATATTAAAGGAGTTCACGGCACTGTACATATGTTGATGAAATTGTTGCCGTTCGATAAATAAGCAACGGAAAATTAAACAGATATTATGTGATGGTTGGTCAGATGATTCCTCCTAAATGTGCAAACTTTTACTTGGATCTTACAAAAATAAATTCACGAAAATTATTTATGCTACACTAAATTAGCATGTAAGTCTATGGAAATTACGTCAAGTGTCCGAATACTTTTGGCACTACTCCGTAGTTGCAATGTAAATAACACACGCTGACGGAATAGAAACCAAAGGATTTCACTGTTACCAGTATACGTGACGTTACTGCAGACAGAGGTGTTTTATCGGTAGAGTGGGGGAGTTTAGTGCTATGTCGCTTTCAACAATAATCCAGCAATATCAAGGCGGGGAACACCAGAAATGGGCTTAACACATTGTACCCATATGGGGAATCGAGCCCGGGTCTTCGGCGTGACAAGCGAATGCTTTAATCACCAGGCTACCCCACCGCCCCTTTATCTGAGGGAGTATGCACGGGGTCCTAGGATTCTGGAGATCTTCAGCTCCTTACCCGATCAATGAGAAACAGGAACCCACAAAACATAAGTCCGAGCACCAGGAGGATTGTCCATTGCCCTCGCATGTCAGTATATCTGTAACGAGACAGTTAAAACAGACTTCAATGTATCAGGCATTTGCCTCATTACTTGTATCACTCGAACTAATACAAAAATGTCAAAAATAAATTTCAGTCAGGTAATTACCGATTAAGCACTTGCAAAAAGCCCACACACACGCCATTTTAACATCAGATTCAACACTATGTGCAGCGGATATTGACACAACTATGAAACGCAACTATGAACAGGAACTGAGGCACATCTGGCCATTGGACGTATCAGGTTCCGCCAAGTATATGAATAAAATATGTCGGTAATTGAACAGTCCATGTTACATGAGTCTAAATGTTTCATGTCTGCCACATAGGCCAGGTGAAGTGAGATTTCGGATCGTGTTTAAGCCACGTTCACTGGACACATGGGCATACACGTGTGTGGTGACCCAGGAGGCGTGACAACCCTCCCCTGCATATACAGCACAGACCCAGGAGGCGTGACAACCCTCCCTGCATATACATCACAGACCCAGGAGGCGTGACAACCCTTCCCTGCATATACAGCACAGACCCAGGAGGCGTGACAACCCTCCCCTGCATATACAGCACAGACCCAGGAGGCGTGACAACCCTCCCCTGCATATACAGCAGAGACCCAGGAGGCGTGACAACCATCCGCTGCATATACAGCACAGACCCAGGAGGCGTGACAACCATCCGCTGCATATACAGCACAGACCCAGGAGGCGTGACAACCATCCGCTGCATATACAGCACAGACCCAGGAGGCGTGACAACCCTTCCCTGCATATACAGCACAGACCCAGGAGGCGTGACAACCCTTCCCTGCATATACAGCACAGACCCAGGAGGCGTGACAACCCTTCCCTGCATAGACAGCACAGACCCAGGAGGCGTGACAACCCTCCCCTGCATATACAGCACAGACCCAGTAGGCGTGACAACCCTCCCCTGCATATACATCACAGACCCAGGAGGCGTGACAACCCTTCCCTGCATATACAACACAGACCCAGGAGGCGTGACAACCCTCCCCTGCATAGACAGCACAGACCCAGGAGGCGTGACAACCCTTCCCTGCATATACAGCACAGACCCAGGAGGCGTAACAACCCTCCCCTGCATATACAGCACAGACCCAGGAGGCGTGACAACCCTCCCCTGCATATACAGCACAGACCCAGGAGACGTGACAACCCTTCCCTGTATATACAGCACAGACCAAGGAGGCGTGACAACCATCCGCTGCATATACAGCACAGACCCAGGAGGCGTGACAACCATCCGCTGCATATACAGCACAGACCCGGGAGGCGTGACAACCCTGCCCTGTATATACAGCACAGACCCAGGAGGCGTGACAACCCTTCCCTGCATATACAGCACAGACCCAGGAGGCGTGACAACCCTTCCCTGCATAGACAGCACAGACCCAGTAGGCGTGACAACCCTCCCCTGCATATACAGCACAGACCAAGGAGGCTGACAACCCTTCTCTGCATAGACAGCACAGACCCAGGAGGCGTGACAATCATCCGCTGCATATACAGCACAGACCCGGGAGGCGTGACAACCCTGCCCTGCATATACAGCACAGACCCAGGAGACGTGACAACCCTTCCCTGTATAGACAGCACAGACCCAGGAGGCGTGACAACCCTTCCCTGCATATACAGCACAGACCCAGGAGGCGTGACAACCCTCCCCTGCATAGACAGCACAGACCCAGGAGGCGTGACAACCCTCCCCTGCATAGACAGCACAGACCCAGGAGGCGTGACAACCCTTCCCTGCATATACAGCACAGACCCAGGAGGCGTGACAACCCTCCCCTGCATATACAGCACAGACCCAGGAGGCTGACAACCCTTCCCTGCATAGACAGCACAGACCCAGGAGGCGTGACAACCATCCGCTGCATATATACTGAACCACAAAAGAAACGTCGCCTTTCAAAACTAATTTCAAAATTTTGTTCTTAAATGGTGGTGTTTCAATTATGACTGTACCGATTTGTTAACATGTTTTTCAATCCAAATTGACAGTTATTACCAACATCAGTGTGTTTTCTGATGAAAAGGCATGTCGACCAAACGCACCTAAAAAGGCAGACATGGTAAAGGTTCCGTATGACATTCGTGAAAATGAAAATGCACGTGCATGTCGTGACAACCCTACCAATGAAAGAGAGTCCCAAACTCGCCTGAAATCATTTTTGTTTCGACACAATCACAGTGCCACGACTTACGAGGGATCAGAGGAACCAAGTCTTGGGACGATTGCAAGGTGTCCCGACTGCACCGAGGGTAGCCAATCCTTTTAATGTCCATGTTAGGACAATGTACCGACTGCAGGAGTGGTATCAGGTCACTAACAGCATCCAAGACCGTCCACGCAGTGGGCGACCTTCAGTAACATCACAACGTCAAGACCGACAGATTGTGCACCACCATCTGCAGGATCGCTTCCCCAGAGCGACGGAAACAGCACGCCAGACCATTGGGACTCACAACAGACCCATCAGTGCCGACACAGTGCGTTGACGTTTGCGCGGAAGATACCTCTGCTATCACAGAGCCTATCGTAGTCCTGTCCTCACCGCTCATCACCGCCCACACCGACTGTGATTGGCAACTCAGCATCGAACTTTTTTTCTTTTTTTTTCTTTTTTTATTAGCATAGGGAAAGATGTTACATATCCGATACATAAGTACATATATATAGCGAGATGTTACACTGCTACTATGTGCATACAAATATATCCATTTCACATAGCGATGAAGATCTTATCCACGGATGTGAAAGTAACATCCTCGGAAATGTACAGCATTTGCTTTACATGCTATATTGAAAGATTAGGGCAGATATAGGATAAGTACTAGAAGTGAAAGTGTGGAAACAGGGAGAGGAAAACAGGAGAGGGGGAAAGACGGGGGAAGGGGCGTGTTGGTGGCTGCGTGTTACACTGTAAGTGTCGGCATCAATGTTGACCATATATTTTTTACTGTGGTATTGGCAGGGCCGTAAATATATTTTTCAATATTATAAATATGCTTGATATTTTTTATCAAACCTTGGAAATGCAAATTTGTTTCTTTATCTTTACCCGTATAAATATACATTTTGAGAATGTTATAAAAATGGTTTAACAGAAGGCTTTGATTGGGGTCTCCAAGTAAGATAATTGATTCTGATATTTTTAATTTCGTCTTGGTTGTTTCTTCAAACGATATTCGAAACTGTCTCATCAGAATTTTGAGTTTTCCTGCAATCATAGAAAACATGTTCAAGTGTTTCTGGTTCCTCAGTGCAGAAAAAGCAGTGACTGCTGTCAGATATCCCTATATTATGAAGGAAAGTTTGTGTTGTTAAAATGCGATGAAGAATTTTGTACTGAACATTTCTTGTCTTATTATCAACGCAACAGTTGTTGATAATAGAAAAACATTTTGACATAAAGTCTGTTGAGAATTGCATGTCTGGTTTGGATTCCCATCTATTTGTAATTTTGTCTAGTGTGGCTCTAACCTTACCACATAATGTTTGGTACATCAACTTTTGTCTTTTGACGATATTAATCGTTTCAACATGTCACTTTTGCTTTCTTTATCAAATATATATGTATGGTCATTTTTCAACTTGTTTGTAAATTCCTTTGGAAGAGCTTTTAGTAATTTAAAATAACGCAAATATGTTCCAGTGAGGTTATATTTTTCAGCATCGAACTTGGCGTTATCGACAATGGAGAACTGTGTTTTCATCTCATGAAAGTCGACATTGTGTTTCGACAGTCGATGGCAGAGTGAAAGTACGGTGAAGGCGTGGGGCACTGTTTTCCAATGAGTGTATTGTTGAAAGAGACTCGTGGGGTGGTCCAAGCATCATAGTGTGGGGTGCAATCAGTCTGAACCAGTTAGTTGACACCGTGGTGTTCCAGAATCTTGGTCCAGGATGAGGAAGTGACGTGACAGCTGATAGCTATATTGACCAAGTCATAAGACCCCACGTTGCACCACATTTTGGACGTCACAAAATCACATCTTCCAGCAAGATAACGCACGTGCCCACACTGCCAAGAGCAACAGTCGACTTCCTAAGACAACATGGCATCCAAACGTTACAATAGCCTGCACTCAGCCCGGATTTAAGTCCAATAGAACACCTTTGGGACGAGATTCAAATAAGACTGAATGACCTCCAACCAAGGCCGACAACTGCGGCTGGACTCGATCAGGCATTTCGCAGAGTATGGACCCTAGTGCCTACGGCCTTCATCAACCGGCTAATTCATTCCATGTACAGACCATGCAACGACTTTCATCAATGTCCATGGAGGCCGTACACGATACTGACTTTGGGGTATCTTAATGGTACCATTTTTGGTGATTGTGTTTGTGTGTACTCTAAATGTGATTCCCGAACATGTGTTAACCATAATGGTCAAGTTTGAACTCAATCCTCCGTTTTGATTGCTGATTAGAGCGAATTAAAGTGCGTGCTTTAAGAAACCGCTATCGGTGCGACATTTCTTTTGTGGTTCAGTATACAACACAGACCCAGGAGGTATGTTCAACACAGACCCAGGACGTGACAAACCTCCCCCGTGTGTGGCCAACACAGATCAGGAGACGTGGCAAACCTCCCCCGTGTGTACAACACAGATCCAACGCAGACCTCCCCAGGACAACACAGTGACAAACCTCCCCCGTGTGTACAACACAGATCCAGGACCTCCCCTGTGTGTACAACACAGACTCCAGAGACGTGACAAACCTCCCCGTGTGTACAACACAGATCCAGGAGACGTGACAAACCTCCCCCGTGTGTACAACACAGATCCAGGACACGTGACAAACCTCCCCGTGTGTACAACACAGATCCAGGATACGTGGCAAACCTCCCCTGTGTGTACAACACAGATCCAGGATACGTGACAAACCTCCCCCCCACAGTCCAGGATGTGACAAACCTCCCCGTGTGTAACACAGATCCATCCAGGATGTACAACACGATCCA